AGGGCTTTGATGTGTTAGTTTTACATTCCTGTGATGAAATGCTGGAGATAACCAATTTCAAAGAGAAAAGGTGTATTGTCACTCACAGTGTCAGTACGGTCAGCCCATGGTCATTTGGCTCTGTTGCTCTGGGTCTGTGTTGGCAAAGTATATCAGTACAGCAATTTGGGGAAAAAAGAGGCCTATTCACCTCCTTGAAACAAGAAAGAGAAGGATAGTTGGGAAGGGTCTTGCATACTAACTTTCTCTCACTAGGTCCCACATCCTAACGATTCAACCACCTCCCCAAAGGGCCACACACTGGGGGTTAGAATAAAAGCTTTGGATTCATTTATCTTCCCAGTAACTCTATTCTGTGCACAATTTTCACTTCTCCATTATACAAAAGCACAGAGAGGTAAAACAACTTGCCTTAAGTCACACAGTTTATAAGTACAGACATTCCCAAGAAAAGAACTAAGTTCCTGGGGCTCCATACCAACAAAAAGACCACTCAAATAGCTCACAGTTGGCCTATCTCACAACCTTAGCTGTAAGTTCTATATCTTCCTCCATTAGTATTTTCCATCTTTTTACACAAATTCTTTGCTAATTGTACAGATGTTCCTTATAGAACTGATATGTACATAATTTACCTGCTTATTGAAGTATCAAGTAAACCTCAGCCCCCAGAGGCCAGGGGAGGTGAGAAATGGGAGTTGATGAAATATGAGAGAAGGTGGGAGCAGGTTGTAATTGTTCTCTCTAGCTGCCTCTTTTAAAGCAAGTGGAAAGGAAGTGTTCATGTCTGGACCTCCTCCTCCTCTATCGACCATAAAGTCCTTGTTGATTCCTGACAACTGGATACCCAGAGTTTATTTTAAGACCTTACCTCTGAAGAATAATGTAGAGATTGTCTCTAAAAGGCAGGTAAGTCAGCTGAATGCCATGGTGGACTTGAGGGTGTCTTTGATTCTCATGTCATCGGTGCCAAGTGAGGTAGTAAGATCCATAGTTAGCATTGCATGTAATTTTAAACCCAGGACATTGGAAGCAAGGGTATTTCTCCAGGTTTCTCCCTTGCTCTACCAGCTTTTCAGGAAGAACACCTACCTGCCATTGATGCTTCCTCATGCTACACACACAGGTTTCTCTGGAGATTATAATATATCTGTATATATTAACACATAGTCTCAAAAAGAGTTGAAATGGCATTTTCTTCAAAAATTTTGCTTGGGGACAGGGGTTGTGGCTCTGTGATAGAGCACTTTCCCAGAAGGTGTAAAGCACTATATTCAATACTCAGCACCCCATAAAAAGAAATTTTAAAAATAAAGATATTGTGTCTATCTACAACTGAAAAAAATTAAAAGTAAATGCAATCTTTAAATAAAAACCTTGCTTGGAATGCACCAGTGTTCAATAGGAGGTACAGTCTCCACTGTGAAGGGTGCATTC